ATAGCAAAATATGCCAGCAAGTATGAGACCAACGATTGTGGAGATGTCGTTATAGAAGCAGTTCGAAAAGCAAAACGTCAAAGCAATGACGTATTTTTTTTTATTTTTTTTTAAGGGGGGAAAATCATCGAATGACTGCTCCCGCCTGGGTGAGGCGGAAGGGAGTGTCAGACTCTTACTGACTAAAAACCACCCCGTTCCTTCTCCTGCACGTCGAGCCGGAGCCCCCGGTTACCCGTTAGGTTCTCCGCGACAAGCAATGACGTATGGAAGCAGTTGTTTGCTGTTTCCATGGCAATTCTTGGCCAACGATTAGTCAGTGCACCAGAAGCGGCCTACTGTCTATGTCATTAGCCTCTAAAGATGTGACCCTAAAAACTGTTTTCGTACATAGTTGTCGTCCAGAGAAACGATACAGACTTTTACGATTTAGTGAAGACGAAACTTCAATTTTTAACAACATTTTTGATAGCTACCAACTCATGCCTGATGATTTTGCAGTCAGATACGAAACCGTATTAAGTACGTTGTGGAATGGCGATTACGGTGACATTAAAACAAGAGATCAAGAGAACGAAAGTAACAGGTTCATGCAATTGAGTGATAACACAAGAATGCGAATCAGAAATCAGGATGCAGTTTTACGTACTCGATATTACACATTAAATAGTGACCGAGAAGGATTTTTTTACAACTTGATTGTATGTCATATTCCATTTCGTTGAAGACAACGAAACAGTTGAAGTTTGTTTCTTACGCCGTCAGTCAGTGTTAAGGCCTTTTTTACCTAATTTATCAGTAGAACAATTTGCCCACACTGAGCAAGCATTAAACACTATTGTTTTTGTCTGTGCATCACCCAAAGGTCTGGCTGGAGGAGAATGCCCTAGGCATTAAGCCTACCTTGTACATTAGTGAGTGCATGAAGTCTTTTAAAATAAAAAAAATAAACACTGTAAACAATGGTGATAATCATACGGAATGTGCTGTGGACCTCTACGCTGAAGATTAAATCAATGTGTACAACCAGGATGATTTCATTGAAGACCATGACCTACAGCCATGCCTGATAAAGTTTTCATAAGTGGAATTAGGAGCATAAATGGTCAACACAAGGATTTATTAAAACAAGTGTCGGATACCATTGAGCGCGACATCAGGTTCAATGATAATCTACAGCCTCTACTATTGTTTATAATGGGTGGAACAGGTAGTGGGAAATCGTTCTTGCTAAAGTTAATCGTTGAGCATATTAGGTGATTTTATGCCCTTAATGACAGTTCTGCTCCATCTATGTGTACTCATTCATGCAAATTAATCAAGCCCAAACACAAGGTAGTTAATATAAACCGTTGAGGAGTTCCCTCGACTGTCTATCGGTTCCATCATCAGGTCGACTCCAGACCCGTATCAAATTATAGTGCTTCAAAATCTTTATCGAAAACTATAACAGACGCATAACACGCCCCTACAAATTTCGAAAGTTCCCCTCGGTTAAAGAATGGGAGCATAACCTTTCAAACAAAACAAGAATTTTGGAAATCGGTTCACAAACGGCAGATTAATCGGCGAACAAACAAAAAAAAAACAACTGAACATATCGTCGAAAGTAATTTATTTTGTAAAAAAGAAAAAATGCGTGTATTAATATAATGTTTTGAAATAATCTACTAGGCGGACATTAAAATAAAATTTAATCTACTACCCTATTCGAATTTTCATATTGAGCTGGATCGCATTCTCGCTTTTCATTGGTCAAAAATTTTTTAACAACCTATGCCAAGACGCACCGCAATCAAGTTCACTTCGATCTTTCGAATTGAAAGTTACAGAATAGTCTAGCTCATCTACAGCTACATGAAATACTTGTAAGCAAATCTACGATGTGTATACGATATCAATGCTCCTTAGAGCGCGTGTGCACGACGCCGACGCCGCCACCGCACCGTCACTACTCCTGCTCCTACTCATGTACATTGTCTAAAAATAATACATAGGTACAGTTTCTTGTTTATGAGCGTTTTTGAACACTTTGGTAACACGCTGAATAAAACAAAAATTGGTCATAAATCGACCCATCCTCGGAACGCAAAAGATTTAGAAATGACCCCGTGCCTATTTGGATCCAGACTTCTAGGCACAACCTATGTCTCAACATTCGAAGTTCGTGCGGTTTAAAAATTAACTACGGTTTAACTAAGGTGTCAAAGTTCAAGAACAAAAATTCCAATAAGGATATAATATATAATCCAGTGATATTTACACCACTTATATCACATTATAAAATCTAAAAATTTCGGACGGCATTGACTTAAATAAGACCTAATGTGATGTAATTTATTATCGTGAAAATACTTACTTGTGTTATTGGTATATTTATGAGCGTTACGTATATGAACATCATTTTCACTTGGTTTCTCTTGAAATACAAATAATCCATTTTCGATGATGCTTTCAATTCTGTGTCTGTTTCAGTTATGAAATGATACCCTGATCTAGCCAATATTGTTTTGATGAAAACAAATTCCGCCCGAAGGAAATTGTTTTGAAAACACTAAGCGTAGATATTGGTGTTAGACATTCTTAAGCGTGTGCTAACAATTTTAGTGATCAGTACTTAATCTAGTCACCATAAACGTTGGTTACCTAAAGGTCATTGTTACTAAAACTGTCTTGTTATAAGAAGGGCTTGTGTACCATTCCTGAAGAGATTATAGAGATTTTCAGTTATCATAAATTCTCAGTACTAGGTAAGTATTATATCCAGATAAACTTTTGCGTGTTTTACGTGTTGTGGGGTAACAAACAGGTTTGAGCATTAATCCTTATTTATTTATAGCTTTTTTCGTAAATACGTAGGTAATAACCATAAAATCATGAGATAAAGGTTAACCTTTATGATATTTGCACATTGTCCTCATAAAAACAGGTAGGTATATGTGTCGTAGATCATACAAAATATGAGTGGCAACGCCAAAAAAATATATGGTACTAGCTGACCCGGCACAACTTCGTACTGCTTAAAAATTTTATGTTTACGTTTTAAACCTTCCCTAGATTGCCACAAACTATTCAAGGTCAAAATTAGGCAAATCGGTTTAGCCGTCCTCGAGTTTTAGCTAGACTAACGAACGGAATTTCATTTTTATTTATATAGATAGATTCGCCCCCATAACATGGGACTCGATAAAATAACTGGTAAAAAAGAGCATACCTGTTACTAGCTTTGGCTATCAGATATATATATTGGCGAACAGAAAGTGGACTTTACTGTTGTTACACACTATGACTCGGTGACACCTTGCCAACAAGGCAATATGTATTATACTATTACATATTGCTGTTAATATCTTATAGTAATAAAATATTACCTCATCCCTGTAGACTCCGTCCAGCCATAAATAGTTCAATCACAGGTAACTGCAGAGCTCATACCCAAACCAAACTATGATAATATATAAATCATTCATGTGTTCCACCTTGTTTGACATGTTGAAAACAAAAAACAATAGGTACCAACAATATTATATGTAACTTTGGCTCAATTCATGCTTGGCCCTGTAGCCAAATCAAATCAAATCATTTATTTCGGTTGCAAACATGGGTTATAAAATATACAAGAGGTGTTTAATATTTATAGTATGGTTCTCCACATTTTGCCATTATGGCATGCACGTATTTCCTAATTAATTTATCTACAAGTTTAACTTATACAACCTCATACAATATACATTACCAATAAATTGAGAATTGAACTAATTATAATTATTGAATGTCAAGAAAGATGAAATTAAAGGTATCATATTATTAATAAGTCAGTAAGTCATCATTAAGAAAGTCGTCAATAAGAGATCATGATATGAATAAATTGAAAATTCGAACTCCTGTGAGTTTAAAAACTTCTAAGTGAAATAAATATTTCCTTCGAAATAAATTATAAATTAGATCGTGACTCATGACTGCGTTACTTCTTTGTGTTGTTAGGGTTAATCTAACAATAACATGTCCATAGGTTGGGTCGATCGCTTACCATCAGATGATAACGGGTGCTCGTTTGGTTATAAAACCAAATAAAAAATGCTACTAATGCAATAACATAATAAAGTAACTAAAACGACACACGGGAAAGACGAGGATTGAAATATATCATTTACCTTATAGCTTCAATGTCCTATACTTTTCATGTCTTATTTTTATATCAATCGGATAGACATTCATGACGACTGCTAAATACTCTCGCGCGGTTGGACCCGCTGCTTGTCATATGTAGCGTGTTGTTTTATAGCCAATCCCTTTCCTGGATATATGAACTGTCTAACAAAAGTTTGGAGATTAGCACGATCAACCAAACAAACTTTTCAGCTTTATAATATTACATTACTAATGAATTATAGATGGTATAGATAAATAACAAGACATGATTACATGTAAGTTCTTTATTATCTGATTCTGTTTAGGGTGATATTTGAAATCTAGATAAATCTAATCTGCATAATTAAAGTACGGAATCTATTTTCAAATCCAAGTTTTTTTTTAATTTGGTCAGTTAGTCTAGAAAAATGAACCCTAAGTGATTATATTTATTATTTAAGTTAAATAGATTTCTATGTAAATATATTTACAATAATTAACATTTTGTAAAGTTTATTTTAAGTTTAATTTACAATTTCAAATAAAACACTACAACTTCTGATATACACCGGCAGCGACGTGCTGACTTAATAAATCCCCATTACCTAGTAACTAATTGATCCCGCTTAAATTACACAGCTCTTTCACCACCAGTCTAAATCACTAAGTCTGTACTTAAACATGTACATACGTGATAATTATTTAGAAGGTAGGGACGCTACGGAATGAGTTAGTCCCGCACAGTGAACTTTATTACTAAGCCGGTATCAGCTACAGGAGAAATACCATTTTATTTTACCGGGCTAATATATCTACGTCCACTTGTTTCTAATAACGGAACTCAGTCGTCGTCCCCACATAAGGTGGTATCATACAATAGTCCCTTGCAAATGTTGGGGATCTGGGGTTGGAGTGACACTTGGGAGCGAGGGACCCAGAGATGAAGACGGTAAAGCAGCTGCCACCTCTTGGTATCCACCGAGTGGTATACTGGGACCAGGCAGGCGCTCTAGCGGGTGCTCTTCTGGTGGCGTTACTTCTAGACCAATACTGCCGTTTAAAGCTATTTTGAAGGCATTCTGTTGCTGCTGTTGTTGTTGGTGTTGCAATAATGAATTGAAATGAGATATACCAATTTCTTCGAGACTACTCTTGCGGCGGCGAGAACCAACGCCACTCAACCCTTGCCGTAGTGAGTTAGATCTTCTTAATAGTATATCATCGACGACCCGAAGTGAGTTAGATCTCCCTCGAAAATCTGTGATAATAGTGGGGCTATCAGGTAAGGACAATGAATTGGCTTTAGTAGTTGAAAGCGGAGGCGCTCGCGGTGGCACAAAACTTGCCCCGATAGTTGATCCTCTTCTGCTCGAAACTCCTTGAGCTTGAATTAATGCTTGTGAACAGAAACTTATGTTTGACTTGCGGCGGCTATTGTGGCGTTCAAACGTCTTTTGTGCAGAGAAAGGTGACGGGCGGACTAAGTATCTAAAAGAGAAGAAAGTATGTATTATTTCAAATCAATTTTTAACATGAAGAAAATGAGTTTCATGTATGTTTACGTACATAATGTCGCCTTCTTGCAAGTTGAGATCACAGCTAGGATTTATAATTACATAAGATAGACTGTTCCTCTTTTCGCTTACATCATCATAGTCGATACCTGTTAAGTTCAACGATTCCATTCTAGATCTTACTAGATTAGCTATTTCAGCCCTTTCAATTTGTTGAGCATGATTGTCTCGTGCTTCATCCGCTAGGCTTGTAGAATACTGTGAAAGCAAAAAATAATTATATCTGGTTCATTTATCTTTTTAGACATTATCAATAAGTCGTCATCAACAATAATATAATATGATTTTAATAGAAATTTCATACATTCCATGTTAAGTGAAAGTTATCATTGGGGTTATATACAATAACATACACATTATTGTTGGTGCCTGTGCGTAAAGACAAACATGCATGAACTGCTCTTGTTTTGCTCGCTCTATGGGTGAAGTAATACTTCGGGTATAGTGAGAAGAGTACGATTGAAATCAGTTTGATGCATGTAAGTAATTATTCTACACTGGGACTCCAACTACTTGGAGTGAGGCATACGTTTTATTTTTCTTTTAGTGATAAACTATGTGGATACCAATAAAATAAGAAAAATGTATGCGCGGGCGATTTTTATGTGATCGATAAAAATAATTATTATGCTATTATTTTTCATAAAATCGTTAGCAGATCTGGTAACCAAATATTATCTCGGTCTATATTTGAATAAAATTTTTTTTTGGCAAAATCTTTTATAAAAGAAAAAAATATCGATTAAATGTTATGCGAGACCCTTGTACAATGACATTTAAGTCTATCTGTTAAGGTCTAATTTACGTAGTAAGATCCGATAACACATAGTAATCACGTAAAAGTAGTAAGCACTAATTTAATGCACTAATATTATAGGCCTCGTAGTTTGGCTGATTGATGGTGGTATTCAAGTATTCACTACTTCAACATCATTCTTGATACTCCTATCTAACATTATTTTGGAATTATGACCCACCGCATGTGTTCACAACAAATTCTATAAATAAATCTTTACACATACGTACAATTTCTATATATCTATTTTATTTTATGTATTAATATATTGTATTGATTAAAAATAGGAGATATTTGTATTGCTATTCATTTCATTGTGACTATTAATGGAAATTATAAGCATCACCATGTCCTTTTTGATATCAAGTGGAACGTACACTTGGAGAGATTACTTTTGAGATTGTTGCACCTAATATAATAAATATTAGGATTATTTAACTGCTATTTTGTTCGAAAACATTGCTTTTATTTGTATATGTATATGACTGACATGAACAAAAAGTTTGACTTTGATGACTGACTAGAAACTTTAACAATATATCTTCTCAAACTAATTCTATTTTAAACTAGTTACTAATAAAAGTTATTATTACAGTATAACGAAAATTAATGTTAAAATAAAATTATTATTTTTATAAATGCAAGCAATATGGCTATGCGGGTCATGATTCTTAGATGATTTATCTAAAATTCTATTGATCAATGAATGTGAATTTCAATTATTTTGCATGCTTTGATAGTTGTCTTAATTATTTCAAAACTTTAAGTAATCTATTGCTGCCATTATTTTATACTCAACAGTCACACCTATATTTTTCTAAAGGGTACAGAATAACCCAGAGACGATTAAATCAAGGAACATACTTAAGGTCATTTCCATTTTTTTAGCCCTGAAAATATTGTTATTGACGATTTAAAAGTTATGAACTATTTTTTTATTTTATCATTTCGTAAAGTGGTCAATATAACAACCACAAAAATGAAACTATGGATTAGTACCTGTAATCAGACATAATCACTTTACGAAAAAAAGAGTTGAGTAATATGTAAGTGTACCTATTTTTATTTCTAGATGCTTAACATTTATCATTGCTAGTAAGTAATTTATTAATGCGACTCAAATTCAGATGACGTTTTCTTTAAAATAATGTGGTACTACAGCAATACAATGTTCGCCTCCTGCTCATTTCACCACTCATAACTTAATTATTTTGGCCTGATACTTTGATATACGAGTCCATAGACAATTTTGTTCGTAATGTTACCCTGGATAATGTTCAATTTTTTCACATATTACCGACTGCCGCCAGAATATAAGGCAATAATTTATGTAATTTTTTAATATCTATGTTTTGTACAATTTTGAAGTTAGATGGAGTAATTTTAACCATCGGTAAAAAGGCTTTAGTAGTTATAACAATAAATATATAGCTATAAAATTTAAAACACGCATTAAGTCGTCATCTGGATAATAAATCTGATGAACCCAAACTCGATATGTTCACTAGTGGGTAGCCTGAAGTTCCATTAACAACCTTCCAATTTCATCATCTGAATAGCTTGACGCTACCCTAATATTGAATGGTCATCTATTTTACATATAATTGGCAAGTATCATGTTGATACATCAATTAAATGGGTGCGTAATTCAGATTCAAAGATTTTATTACATAGTACGTTACAGGTCAACCTAATAAAGACAAGTTATTAAAGGTGATCGGACAGTTTAAGATGGACTAGGGTCCAAGTGGCGTCATTAATTTATGACACCAAAACCGCAAATAAATCGACTCATGAAGAAAAATGTTATTGACCTCGAGTAGATCTAGGTATTATTTTAAATTATATTTTTGTTGAGACAGTTATATGAATATGTATATATTATGTACACAGGTTATGGTAAAAATAATCAATAAAAATTCTTTGCCTGAACCGAGAGAATCGACGACGCCATTTGGATCAAGTCCACCACCTTTTAATTTGACTCTTTTTAGAATTCAATTTCAGTAAACCAATTTCAGAGTCCTTTCACATAGAATTATTAAGCCTAAATAGTAACTGCGTTCTATGAAAAAATATCTAACTATACGTGTCCTGAATCCTACCAACCGAAATATGTTACAGTAAGCACCAAGAAGAATAAAGTATGAGTAACTGTGTAAGAAGTTACGTATGTTTTCAATACGTGCAACATCACACATGTTTTAGTCAGAAACACGATTGCAAATTATTACGCACATCTTTATTTTTATATAGTTTTTTTTAAATATTGTCGTTGTTATGACTGCAATATATTAGACGTAATTTTTTTTCTATTCGGTAAATGCAGAGCCGTCGTTTTATGTCTTTTGTATAACGATGTCGACTGGGTCTCCTAGTTAGCATATTCAATCAAAAGGTCCATGTGAAAGGTCTCTGGTATTGACCTTACCGCCGGCGTGCGTTCCCCGTAGCAGCCACTGAGGCAGCTTGCTGCCTCCCGGCGCCCGCAAGTAGAAAATCCACCGCCTTCGCCTTCCTCCTGCTGGAACTATCGTGTCACTGTTTTCCAATACTTTTTCTAGCTTAACAACACATTGTCAATTTTTCCAATTTTTCAATGCATTTTTCATAATTTTCATTCCTCTGCTATCGTTTTCGGTATAATTATGCACAAATTATAATTTTGGTTAATTTGCATTAAGACTGCACTAAGCATTGTTATGCACCTTTTTACTGTCCTAGCTAGTCTTTTGAAATAATGAGACATGAGTTACCTATAGTATGGGATCTACTCCTTTATACTAGAAGCATGCATTAAGCTAAGCAATTGCGCTAGTGTTTCCTTGATCATCACTGCTTTAAGAAGATAATTATGGGATTAGAGCCTATTTACTGGTAATGTAAGTGAGGACATGCAGCGATCGACTTGTTGCTCAAAATATTTACTATTAAATAAAATTACACCAATGTTAGCTATATTTAATGTGTACCAGTCTAGTAAAACTATATTGATTTACTTATCTTTCTCGCAAGTTCTAGAATTCTATAGTATCATGCAAAACACAAACTACAAGTATAACATATAGGCGGGATTGCGATCATCGAGTTCCATAGTGATATTGTTTTAGTTAGCCAGTACCCTTCAGGTTACTTCTCATTTGACACATGATGCATTTCATCATACCGTGTCCAATAAGCCAAACTTAGACAACCTATCCCATCCGGCCGTAGCAGTTTGCGTAAAAATCATAAAATTGAAGCACGTGTAGTCCATTAGACAATAGGTACAAGTATCGCGTGAAAGGTAGAAGTTATATAAAAATTGCTACTAATTACAGACACTCCACAAGTGTAAGGCTCAGAATGTATATGTAGATAGGTTACAAAAATGGAAAAAAGTGTAGCGTTGACGCGTTAAAAAGAAAAATAAGATTTAAAAAATATACCCGAAATACAGTCCAAAGACTCGGACTACTGAGATGCAATTTTGTGATGTACTATTATTATTATTAGATATTTGTAAGTTTTGAAATGGTGTGTGATGGATTAATAGCGTTCAGGCGTAAACTGCAGTAAAGGACTGTATTTAAGGAGATAAATATTTGAGAGTAGGGAGTTAACCGACTCACCGATGCACGCGATGGTCGCATTCTCGCGAGGCGTGACCAAAACCACTTTGATGGGGTCCTTGGCGACATACTCACGTGGTGAGATGCATCGGCTAATGTCGTATCCTGAGTGCGATATATTCCAATCGGAATTTCGCATGTAGTTGAACATAATTTTTGATATAACCGACCATATGTTCGTATCCACATGTCTTCTTTTGAGATTTTCATCTGTTAGAAGTCCAAGTTAAACATATAAAAGCCTGAGCGATTTCTAATAATTTTATAGAATCAATTAAAGTGCTATTGGCTTATCGCAATATTCGCCCTTTCAGTGAAGTGACACAGGGAGTTAACAAAAATTAAGATATTCGCGAGCCTGTAAGTATATGGAGCACAGCCATATCGGTGTACTTAATAATTATTTAAGACTTACTGAAGTGAGAAATCCTGATCCTGGAGCTTGATCTACTCCCAATAATAATCGCACAAAGGTAATCACATAATCCTTTACGAATGCTTGATACAGTAACGTGTCTAGCATTGATGCCGAGAACACAGAGCCTGCGGCAAACGGCAGCCGGAACATATAAGATATATGCGAACCACGCTCCTTTTCTCGCTAAAACAGTATTAAAAAACTACTGAATTTGTGCTTTGGTTGAGTAAGAACTTGTTACAAATATTTTCTGTGAAAGGGATTTCAAACTACTGAGTAGGTACGCATACCTTCTTAAGTACATATAAGACCAAAAATTTCCAAAATTTTAGCTTCACCAAAACATGAAACTTGTTAGAGGATTTTAGAGGGTTATTTTATTTTGTAATTGCGATAAAAAATGATACTTGTATATTACCTTTTCCATTTTCGAAAGATGTAAGGCATATTTGTCATGTGCACGGAATTGCATAAATCTCATATTTGATGATTGTGATAGTTCTGTGATTGACTTTATTGATGGAAAAAACCTGAAAAAAAGAAAGCATATTGCTAATTGATACCAACTTTTCTCTCAAAAACGTATAAAAGTAAATAATAAATTCGCAGCGCAAACAGATCACAAAAGAGACGATATTTTAAACTGAGCTAATGGCTATTAGAGATAAAGACACTGTTTTGAAAGAATTCGCTATGGCGTAGCGTCATTAAATTATTGAAAACCATTACTTGAACATAGTTTGTACAGCAACTATTGTGTTACAGTCTGCCAGACTATCTTCTTCCGCAGAATTGGATAATTCTTTGTTGACAACGACTACGTTTTCCGCCAATGTGATGCCGGCACGCAACAAGTCATCCAAACTGAAATCGAAGAAATTGAGTAAATAACTCAAACGCTTATGTAATACAATATAAAATGAATATCACACACACTTACCAATCAATGCTACCCAGCATCCAATATACTAACGGGAAGTAAGATATTGCATCTAAAAATGCTATGTCTGGTCTGCGTTCTAACAGCAAAATAATAGGATTTAGAGAGGTCTTAGACCTAAAGTGGGCCCGCAAGGGTATAATAAAGTTGTATATTCCATTTGATGCGTAATCAGCAGCAAGGATGATAGTTTTATTCTGCCATTGGTACTCTTTGGCATTCCTATAAGCACAGTGTTCACAGACTTGTGCTAGTTGCAAACAGCATAATGATTTCTTTTCCTTCAGCAAGTAACATAACGTTGGGCTCACTCCTATGAATGGTGACACTGGCGGGAATCCTTTCACAATTCTGAAATATCTCATATCATTGTGGTTATTTGCGGTCACAAACATATATTTTAAATTAAAAATAAAGTTTTCATCATTCAATAAGGCGAAGCAAAGCTTTTTAAGAAATATAATATTAAAAATTACTAAAAGTTGTGAAAGTTAAAGTTATTATGTATACTTACAAATTAAAGGTACATCACATCTAATAAAAAATATTATACATATACGATAATCATAACTGGACTGTGTTTAATTCTATGTTTAAGTGTTATTTAAATCTAACATTGAACATCAAATTCACGAAATTAACATGCTCAGAGTTATAGTATAGGGACATGTGCCGAAATTTACTAATTTGTTAGTCACTGGAGAATTGGAAAATATCTAGGTCTGACATCACACATGCATTTAGTATAAAAGGCGAAATAAACACTCGTTCCGAGAGAAGGAATTGTTTTCTACAAGTCCTTCTAAGGGTTTATTAGCTAAAAATCCTTCTGTCGGAACAAGTGTTTTGTGAATATTATCACTTTTAAAATGGACTAAGCATTTATTTATTAGTCCATGTTTTTAAGTATGTATAATAAAATATGAGTATTCTAAGTATAACGTAGGGTTTAATAAGATACTCGAACCAGTTGCCTATGACAGCGTCTTCGTACCTGACACAACGCAAGTGTGATGAAATATAAATCAACTTCGTTCCTATGAAACCACATTTCTATCTTTTTTAAATGACTATGCAAGAATAAGGTACTTCGTTTTATAGTAATATACAAAGGTGATAGTGTTAATCGATTCCCTTTTGAACCCCATTTAAGTTCAGTATGAAATCTAGCTGACAGCCAAACTCACAGAATAAATAAATATACCACTTGCTTTTGTAACTTGCGCGCCTATCAGTGTTTTCACTATAATATTTGACTTAATGAACAGTGAAATTATGTTATCAATAAGATAATCGAAAGTCGATTTTATGTCAAACATAACGAGGTTTACTTTCTTTAAAACTCGTACTCGTTGTTCTGGAAGACTGCGATTCGTGTCATGTGACATTATTAACTTTAAGTCACGTTTATTATTTGATGTCAACTGCGTGCCGTGTCAAACGGTAGCAGCCGGGTGACTGAAGAGACAGAACGTGCTATGAGCAATGGAACGTGCACCCGTGACGTTCCTCGTGACCTGTAGCGTCCTGATTGCGAGTAGACATAAAGCCAAGCTTTTAAAGGCTTTTTAAGATATGTTTTTGTTGTTTATTGTGTTTTTCTTACTTGGTGATAACTAACTTTAAAGAGTTTTGACATGGACCAATCATAGGAAGATTGAGATTAATTATTATTCGTAATGGTTTAGATAAGCTGGTTCTATTACTGTTATTAGAGATATGCCATTTAGGTCTTTACTGTTCTTTCGTTAAAGCTCGTCTTTGCTGTTTATTCTTATTACGACAAGCACGTTCAATATTTGTTTCATATCATTTCATCAAATTCAAGATTTGTGAAATTATTTTTATACTTAGGTACAAGTATTCTTTGGACAAAAAGTTTATTTAAAATATTCGTGTGTGATATAGTAAGGACAAATAAATAAATAATAATAATAAAGAAGTAAATAATTGATATTTTTATCAGACATGTACCGATTAGCCTAATCTATCTTGTGTATACATACAAAACTCAATAACTGACTGACTGACCGACAACACACAACAACTGACAGAAACTACAGGTCGTAGAGAGCATAGGATAAGATTTTTGAAAACCTTCCCCCCTAAGGGGATAAAAGGAAAGAGGGTCAATTGAAACTTCCACTTTTATCCAACCACTGAACCGATTTAAATGAAATTCGGTTTATCCAGAAAATCCCACGGGAACGGGAAATATGCATGTAAAATCCAGGAACTCTCCCTTTGTAAAACACCACTAAATCAATTTGGATGAAATTTGATACAAAGATAGTTTGGGACTCGATAGAAGTATAGAATATTTTTTATCCTGGTAATCCCACAGGAATAAGAAGATAATGAGTATTTAATTAGTTGTTTTATATACCTGCAGGTTGATTTTTTACCACAGGTCATCAATTATATTATATATCTTTTAAATTTATTTGAAAGGCTGTATATTTCAGTAACTACAATTTAAAAGAACTATTGATAATCCCCAAATCACAAAGAATCGCTTGATCAGTCAGCATACGTAAGAAACTTTTGTTTTATAAGCTTTTTTAGGTATGACAAACTTAAAAAATACTAATAGACATAATGATAGTTTTAAAATTGTAATCGGCACATTTGTAATTAATTTAACCTACCTTTAGTCGAACACCTTTTTGTTCGCCTTTCTAGAAAAGGCAAGAGCAAAACTGACCATTGACAAATGAATTATATGAATATTTTAGCCTACGATATTTCTTTTACGGATAAACTCAATTTTATTTAATTGAGTGTGTTTTATTACTCAAACTTTTTTTATATCCACAAAACCTACCGACTAGTATGTTTTATTAAATTTATATTGTATTGTATTCGAAGTTACTGTTGCAATACCGGTGGCCCACGACAATCCATTAGAGATGAAACGCAGCTTAAATACCGGAATGACGTAGACAATTTCGCTGTAAAAAGATCTTATTCTGATTTGAAAGATTCATTTGAGATTCAAATGATTACCTGGTGGAAAAATATTATGTTCTGTCTTTATCAGGACCTCACAAGGTTAAATGTATGAATGCAATTCAAATTGCTTTTGAAAATGAAGTTTTGTTTCTGGAAAATTGTCTATCTTCAGTATTTAAGGTACTTTCTCTCAGTGTGGCATTATCGTGAGAGGTATATTATGTAGAAGTAGGATGATATTTGGAACATAGGTATTTTTTAGACAACTTTACAGTTACAGTACAAACCATAACATAAAACCGGGCTTACACTCTGAACTCACTTAAGTCATTAAAAGATGGTTAGGCTGATACGATTGGACTCGTACCTACTTTGAGACAGTTTGTATTTGTTTGCGACTGTTAAATCGTAACTTATTATAAACGTACCTCATATAGTCGTTGCGCCAGGCGCTGTGCGCGATGTCACTGGCTGCCAATGAAGAGAAGCTGCTGGTGGTGACGTCATCACTGGAGACAGGGGTACGGGCCGTGCGGTTGGGTTTTTACGCTCAGGGATTATACAGATACACAATGCACACAATTGCAACAAGTATAATTTTAAAAATATCTGTCTATTTAAAACAGATAACTAATTTAATCATTTTATTATTAAGGCTGATGGTGCTTGTGGTTACAGCAGATAAATAAGAAAATAAAATAATTATGGTGTAAACTAATTCATTCATTCTCACAATGATGCAAATGAAGAAACACTTTGTATGTGTGACTGATGGGTTTCTTAGTCGTAAGTTTTATTATACATATTTATAAACTACCTGATGCAGTTATGATGTTCGTTTATTCACTAATTGAACTGTTGTCACTTCTTCGGTTTGTTATGTTTAACAACATAAAAATTATAATAGGTTATATGCTATTAAAGTAAGTTTCAAAAGAAATGTTATTTCATTTGCATTCTTGGGCCATAATAAGGCTGCTGATAAGCGATAATATGTTTAAAAAGACGAATCTATTAAGGATAATAAAAAAACGAAGCTGACGTGTATGTATATGAGACTATGATTGTACGTACTGTGCGGTAAGTACTCATGCAGCTTGAGTGATCCAGATCGGCTATCTACAGGAGTGAATGTAAACGCTAAAACAATGGAAAAATAATACAATGTCGTCGTTAACAGGAAAAATAATCCAGTTAACGGCATTAAAAAAATTAAAAAATACAATTCAAATGTAATAAAAATAAGTAAACAATTTTGCTAAGTAATTAAAATTAAAAAAGAATTTTAATTGTATCTAGACTGTGATTTTATTTAAATTGATCTTGCGTGCATGTGGATGCAAATTATGGCGATTAATTAATTAAATATGCGTACGCTATCTTTTCTGACGGCGAACGCCACGGTACATCATCCTCTAATTCGTCTTCACTTTCATCAGCTTCGACTTCTTCGTCTTGGTTATCAGAGGCGATATTTAAATTGCTGGTTACCATATCAGGTACCGGTAATATTGATGGTCGTCGACTTCCTGGAACACACATTGTTTATATGTGCATAAATTTATTAAACAAACAGTTACTTACATATATTTCGCAATAAACCACTATAAAAGAACTAAAAAAACATTTTATACAAATCTAATATTATTATTTATAGTAACAGTTGAGTCTATTCTCACCTCTTCGATAATTTAAGGCGTCGGGGCTTAGAAAGTTGTTGTCTGGCTTAGGTAACAACAGATGACTATCTGTGGCACTGTCTGTACCAGGGGAATCTTTTGAGCAAGTTCTAGAATCACCCGCCGATGTGCCTTCTCCATACTTCGCTGCATAGATAAAGAACATTCAACATGTATGATGTTAGTTTTAATAGTATATTTATAATTTAATTCAAAAGATATAATTTTAGCTGTGAAGCTTTATGAAGCTCCGGGCATTATTCTTCAGCATTGTTATTCAATTAATTTAATCTGCAATTTGTGTACATCGTAAATATTATACAGTTCTTCTAGTTCCAAATATAACAGAAAATAAAACATCAATAAATAAATATACCAGATGCATGAATGTTCGTAGTGGACAGTGTATTGATGTGACAGTGCAAGATTAAGTTAGCGGACTTTAGGTTTATGTATAGATTGTATTTATACATTAGAATATAATATAGTTTCCTTTCAAGTTTGCCATTAAGGACCGTGCTTGGTTGTATTCCATAGAATAAGATTTAGTAGAAACTAATAAATGACACGTAAGTACAGCACCAAGCATCCTCAGACTAATGGCATACCTTAAGTATTCGACCATTTTAACTAAGATAAGATTTTTTCATCACTTTACAGGTAATATTCGGTCATGGTGGATCAAAGGAGGCCTTCGTTCAGTGGATGAATATCAGCAGATGACGATGAAAGAATATTTTTGATTGTTGACTGTCTCTAATATTTAAGTTTTTGTATGTGGTGCTTTTAACTTTACTTACATTCAAAAGTATCTTTCGTGTTAAATCACCGTGAATACTTATGCCAAATTTACAAACTCAGGGGCGAGTGGCGTAATGTAATTATTAAATTAGAACTAAAAAACTACATACTATCCCTGGCCCTTCTCCTTTAATTTTTACTAACATTTATTTATCATTTATAAATGTACGGCAAGATTCACTAAACCATCTCCGTTCGCATGATGAAATAGCAACCACACTCTTTGTGACAACGCGCTAAATGTGTAATTTGGAACCAACAAACATGCACCCGGTGACAGTGTAGTATTTGAGTAAATCCCAAGACCCACTTGTAAACCCAACCAACTACTGAACATAATATTACCACACAAACAGACATGCAATTTAAAATAGCTTTATCAAGTTTTTAACAAATTTGAATTCAAAACTACTAATTGTATTCACGAAATATTTTGACTTTACACGAAGCACACTCAAGCCACAGACTCTTTTGTGGATATCCTAGATTGTAAATATTGTGAATCCGTACACAAGATAACAAGGACGATGTCATGCTTTTTAGGTTTTATAATTTTAGTGTAATTTTCATATTATCAGGAAAGTATTACTTGCCTCGTTATCATAGTACTTTTGGAATGAGTGAGTTTGCTATTTGTCTTTAACGAAATAATCAGATCTATTTATCTGTACGAATAACTTATTGATAAAGACAACGAGCAATAAGCAAATCAAACAATTAAGTAGGACGAATGCATTTTGTGTTTGATGACAAGGGGGAATGTATGCATTTGACCTACTTTGTGTTTTACCAACTGTGACACTCACAGCTAGTGACAGTAAAATTAGCGGATGATACAGTATTAGCTTGGTTGATGCGTGATGGCGATGCTTTTGGTGTGGAACTCGCGGGAGCTTGGAGAATCACTTGTGGAAGGTCGTACTGAGCGACGCTACTACCGTCTGGTTTCTTCTGCTGGTCAGAAACCTCCTCTGCGTCACCTGGTTTCTTCTCATTAGAAAGTAGACTACATGCAGTTTGATCTTTTGGTATTGTCGGTTTCTGTTCTGATTGTTTTTCAGCAACGACAAAAGCAGAATTCTCTTCTTTTGTGATGCTCATGTAATAACAGGTGTCACTACTCTTCATGATATGACGGGGGCCAGGATTCAATAGAATCGTTTCTTCGTAGAATTCAGGTAGTTCTGCTGGACGTACTCCAACTAGAGCAACTCCGTACCTTTTTAAACCAAAATTTCGTTAGTACTTGTGAATCTTGAGAAATGTAAGCGTACAAAGTAATTAGTTTGAACATACTTTCTGTGCGAGTGAAAACTAGCGTAGGTAAAACTTTTTCCTTCGTACTCGCCGAAAAACCGGCTATCGCCCAAAACAATGTGGTAAATTTCGTTTCCAGAGCATTTACCGTATAGTCGATGCCATTCTTCAGGAGACTGCTGACCTTCCCTGCAATTCAAGGTTTATGTCCTATGTAATAAAATAAAGTTTAACCATACTATGGAATATGTTTTGTATTGTATTATTGATGTATTTTCTTGATACATAGTTTCGTATCTTATTTCAATAATATCATGATGAGACACTTACTGTCCACGACTGGTATGTAGTAAAAGGGTTACTAGTGTAGAAGCTCCTGGACAGGTGCAATTGTTTGCTAACAGAGCATATTTAAATTCATCTTCACAAACTACAAATTCAGCAAACTTCACGTGCAATTTATTTTCAGGTCTAAAGATCTGCACATATTGCGGCACAGCTGGTGCAAAATCTTTAACAGCCCAGGACCTGAAACCAGTGGAATATTCTTTTTAACCCCTGTGCAAACCGATGGACGACAAATTGATGATCGATAAATGACACTGATTACACGCGTGCTGGTATGATGATGGTTTTTTTTTTTTTTTTTTTTTTTTTTAAGGGGGGAAAATCATCGAATGACTGCCCCCGCCTGGGTGAGGCGGGAGGGAGTGTCAGACTCTTACTGACTAAAAACCACCCCGTTCCTTCTCCTGCACGTCGAGCCGGAGCCCCGGTTACCCGTTAGGTTCTCCGCGACTCCGAATCGGCATCGGCCCTATTGGACCCCATCTGTGGTGGTCTGATGGCTCTTTGAGGCGCGCGCGGAACGCGACGCGACGCTCGGGTCTGTTTCTGGTCGGACGGGGAGCCACCCATGCTCGCCGTCCGCAGGCCCGCGCTTACGGTGGCCGGAGATCGTCCCGCGATCCCCGACGCCCGGTGTGTCCTTCGCGATGGCTGGGTTGCGAGGAGGCAGCGCTTCGCTGCCTCACGCGTCCCGCCTCCTCCTTAGCTAGCATGACTGCTTCGCAAAAGGAGGAGACGGCATCCCAATCCCCCTCGCTCCGCATCATGGCCTGCACTAGGCCCGGACGCGAGAGGTCGCCATCGCCGATCACTTCCCTGAGGACACGGCGGTGCTCAGCCCACGAAGGGCATTCTCCCACCGTGTGTTCCACCGTGTCCTCAGGGCGGTCCTCGCAGTGATGACACCCGGGCGTTTCCTCCCGCCCCATCAGACACAGGTACCTCCCGAAACTGCCATGTCCGGTGAGGACCTGCGTCAGGCGGTAGGTGAGGACGCCGTAGCGTCTCTCAAGCCACTCCTCAAAGAGGGGACTTACCGCTGCGATGGCAGCGAGCCCAGTCCTCGGTTGCGACAGTCGTTGCTGCCATTCCGCCATGAGATCGCGCCGGAGCTCATCCCGCCACGCACTTATCTGGCGCGGCAGCGGAGTTTCGCCCCGGCGACGTGCCTCCGCGCGCATGCTGTGCACGCGCGCGAGCACCTTCGCCTCCAGATCCCACGGCGGTAATCCGGCAAGGAGGTTCGCCGACTCCCCAGAGATCGTGCGGTATCCGCGGATCATTCGGATCGCCATGACCCTCTGTGCCATGAGCAGCGTCCGAGCGGGACGCCGCAACAGGTTAGGCGCCCAAACAGGGGCGCCGTAGAGGGCCATGGACCGCACGACCCCGGCGTATAACCTCCGGCAGGAGGCGTTTGGCCCCCCGAGGTTGGGGAGGATGCGTTTAAACGCAGCCCCCGTCGGTATGATGATGGTAGCATCATGGTCATGGGTTAGGATCATACCATCAGTCATTATAACCTTTTACTGATTTAACCCATTTTGTATAACATTTGATCTCGAGTAAATCTTCTTCGGAAAAATTGACGATATCTTCGTGTTTTAAACAATGAATTAATGTACTTTTATTCTTATAATCGTGTCTAATTTGACCGGATCATTTGTTTCTTTATTAAAAACACAACAGTACACTTGCTATAACTTAAAATCTGATGTGCACACCAATGACAGGTGTACAGAACACTCACTCCATGTACAATAATATTAAAAAAGACAAAAGGCATTCAGTAGCAAACAAAAAAATAACAATAATTGATAAGTACGTGATACTATTACTACAGCAAAATAATTGAAGAAAAATTTAAATGGTTTATAAGGTCTTAATGGTATTAAAGGGTTTCTTGTTTAAATTGTGATTCGTTAAAAACGAGAAAATGATTTATTAAAATGTTAAATAATTTAACTGTACCTTAAGATAGTGTGTTCATCTGCAGCTGTTTTGTCGGCATAATTTCTAGCAGCCAGAATAAAACATGCTTCAGCCTCGTTCATACGAGCTCTTATTAAATCTGTATCCTTTAAGCACGATCCCTGGATATAAATAACTCTTTGTGCCCAAATTGGTACCTGTAATATAATAAAATAAATATTTTGGTTGAGCGTAATATGTTGTTATCGTTTTATTTTTAAAGATAGATTTTAGAATAGTTAAAGTATATTTCAAACAACCTATCTGGTATTGCGGGTGTCCATGGGCGGCGCTGATCGCTTACCATCAGGTGATCATTATGCTCGTTTGCCTCCTATTCCATAAAAAACAACCTAGTTCAAAGCAAATCGCTACAAATATTAGTCCTCTTATATATATAATATAGAATGTTTTTTTATTAAACTACGATTAAAAAAGCCGATGTCAACCTCCTAACCTGCTCCTAAGTGTAACAAATACTTTTTTGAAAACCGCAACAACATCGGTTGCGCCATGTTGTGGAACGTTGTTGAACATATTAAGTGTCACGAAGATAGATAACGTAACAAATAGATCTCAATATTGTTTCAAAAATAACATGTGGACAGGAATTTTGAACGGAAGGTTCTTAGGCCTTTTGTGTTGTCCAATTCATTGGAAGACCGAGACACTGAGCCCTTTGAGAGAGATATTATAGTTTCACGAAAATGGCTGCCCATAACATTATAGCAGATAGATAAGGCGGTCTGGTACTATGTCGTGGCCAGCCTGCTCACCAGATTTATGTCGGAATACTGAAACGCTACTCAATTTTAAGTAGTGCTTAAGTATAGTTCTATCTCTACAAATTCTTTGTAAAATGACAGAGATGGCAGGATATTTGAGCACGACTTAAAATTGAGTAACGTTTCAGTATTCCGGCATTAAACTGTCAAACACTGCGAGGACACCGGTGACCTATTGTTCTTTAAGTGTGTCTATAATGACGGTATTCAAAGGGTTAATCCATTAGATTTTTTAATGGGGAGCAGTTAAAGAAAAAGTTTACTTAATACCTGTGAAAAATTATTATTAAACTTCGAAAAAGAATATCATTTTTTAATAACAGAACAGAAGATTAGCAGTAAGGCAGGTTGCACAAACTTTTTAAATGCAATGTCGTGCCTGTATTGCAGTTAGAGGAAGGCAATATAAACATTAATTTTACAAAAAAAAATTCTACGTAAATACCCATGACAAGCAAGTGAAATGTACTCATCAAATGTACTTTCAAACGTTTAAATGTTCAGCATTAGTAGCCCACCAGGCTTCTTCTTCAAATCTTACCTGTAATATCATTCTCATAGTAGTGTCTAACTCCATAGGAGATAACAGTACTACATAGTAGTCTTGTAATAAGGGATGAGCGTAGAATTCGTTTAGGAAATCCATTATTGTATCGGCATGTAAAGTAGTAGAGCATACGACGACGTGTTTCTCCGATTGTGCACGATGTGATGAATATGAGCCACCAAGTTTTTGCCTTTCCATCCATGTGAATGCCAGCTGCTCAAACTGAAAATATTAACCAATTACGATTGAGAATTAAGTAATAACGTTTTAATATTATTGTTTTGGGGACCTCTACAAAAAAGTTTTGTTTATTGATTTCCTCCTAACATATGTAGGTAGTTCATACAAAGAATAAGTATACTTAGAGTAATGTAATTCTCGCGAGATTGGGGCTCATGCAAGATCTCGTGAGATTATAAAATACAATCATTTCTTTTCTTCTTCAATTCAAATACCAAACATCTGTAACATCATTTGCTAAAACCATGAGATCTCTAAACGACTGTAGTTCTTACTTCTTTACTTCTTCTACTTTGACATACGTGACTATCACATAACAAACGAAAGAAATAACCAGTGTCTTCTAATATAAACAAACCTTTTCAGTTTTCTTTCATTACTTTAAATTTTGTTATTTTGTAATCCATTATGTTAATTACTATAATTGATTTTCAACAATTGTACTACTAATGAATTAAAAGTAATCCTTTCAGGGTTAGTTAAACAAATAATTAAAATAAAAAATATATTCAATCATGTTATTTTACCTGTGTAGGTAGCACAACAAGTGCCACTCCGATCATGATAACCATAAAAAGCTGCGATGGCCATATATCGGGCACGAAATCACCGTAACCCACGGTCGAGAAGGTGACTACTACGAAGTATGTGGCTTGAAACAGATTGAGGTGGCGATGCCCAGCTCGTTGAAAGTGTTGGATCCCGCAGACACTGAAAAGTAAACAAAACGGAACTTAATCAAGGTGGAAAAAACAATTTAGTAAATTATTATACTAAGAAGCGTCGGTTTCTCCACCTCTAAATAAGCACCTGATAAACTTATGTGACAGATTCATACAAATTACGTTCTTAATTCAAATTTATCTGGTAGATAACGGCTATTCAGATATTGTGAAACAGACCCTAAGTGTACACAATACATTGCGGCGTCACAACTACAAATACATACGTACCAACGTAATACAAAGCATTGACGCAATATAATAATTTATCATTATCAAATTTAAACATCAATAAATGTAACTTCAATAATAAATGTAAGATCCCATTCACCATTATGCCTTCGATATAATAACATAGAGGTAAAAGCGAGCGTTTCTTAACTGACGATGCCACCGTATGTTAGCGAAGGAATTAAATATAGAGGTACAATGCATTAGATATACTTTGTTTCTTATCCTGAATTGATATAGATAATTAAACAAGTAATATTTCGATGACATTCCTCCAGCCTATAATTATTAAGTATTTTTGTCAATGAAAAGTTATAAATCTGTTTTCATCTATTAAAACTGTGAGAAACAGGATATCCTTACAGAAAGGACGTAGGTACATGAAATCGAATAAAATCTCAGGAATTTAACAATACGCATGAAATTAGATTGCGCATTTCCTTTACTCCTTAGGGATTTTGTTTCTATAATATCGTAGTTTAGATAGATATAGATATATCAGATGGAACTGTATAAAAAATAGCGTACATAAATACAAAAATTACAATTAGAATATAAAATAATGAAATGTGAATTATTTAATAATACGAAAATTATTACCCGTTGTGTGCCGGAATGAAGAGACAATATATTTTCTATTGTGTCTTGATTACAGTAAGTTAAGATTTAAGGATGCAATGGGTAGAATAAGAGACGATGCTTTCTTTGATTTAGTCTAAGGCCTGACATAATTAACCACGTCTACAAGTAGACTTGAGCCAAGCACTCGGATGTCTCCTCGGAAGCTCCACGTGCCGTGTGAGCACGCAATCTGAATGTTGTCGGATGGCCGACAACTAAGCCAAGTTGAATCGGATCGGTCAGTGATCGGTGTTATGAGGGCACTCGAATTATTTTCTAGGCAACTGTAAAATCTTTAAAAGACTTGTACACTCGTCCGTGATCGTACAGAGAAAACCCAGCTTTGATAGGGTTCCTAAAATTACCCTGCGTAACAAATAGCTACTACGTACTGAAACCATTTCTAATTATTGCACCAGTTAAACAATATTTTTCTTTACTATAAATTGTGTAATGTAAATAATGCTTAGCATTTTTACTTACCTTGTAAAAACCAGACATAATAATGTGACGCATAATATCATTAATTGTTGCGATAACGCGGATTGAGACTTTTGCATAGCTCTATGGAGGTCGTTCTGTAACAAAGGATAAAAGTTTTTAGGCACTTTTATAGTAAGTACGTTTAAAAAAAGTGGATGTAGTCTGTTGAGACCACAACTGAAGCACCCATAATAGGTCAGACTTAAACGCAGAACACATACTTTGACAGAGTAGGACGTTAGTCGCTTATCATTACATTTTGCGCGCTTGGTGTTTCAAAGCAATAAACATTTTTATTCATCCTGAATCAAATAACTATTATCAAATTATATAGCTATACTTTATTAGTGCAAATTATATAACAATGCAAACTTCATTACTTTTGAATTTGGTGCCACGTGTAAATTGAATTAAACCACCTTAAATAGCGGTACATTCAAAAATAATGTCAATAGAAACTCAAAATTTATTCAAATTATTAAAAAAAAAATCGATTATTTTCTTGTCTGGTAACCCATTACACACGCAAACATAAATACACCGCCGCCATTTTCGAGGTTTAATCATTTTGAAGTGACAATGCGTCCGCCGTTTTTTTAACGTCCTTGAGTAAGTACATGGAAGGTTATTGTAAAGTGGTTTCAAGTGCTAATATCAAGCTGAGAAGACCAGAACCAGAACCTGCGACAAATTGGATTCGCAAGAAGAGCTTAATTCGGGTTATAGACTAAGTGATAGAAACATAATACAACTGGTGAGGGAATGTAGGTGCTATATTGCGTATGTGCACCCCTATTTTATTCCACAGGGACTCAAAGGCGTGACGTTACGTTATACATGAAACGAGCAATTTTATTCACTACCACGCCGATAGAAACACACCAACAAACTTGAATAATTAAATAGACAATACGTCACTTTTTGTTAAAGGGTAAGAACAGAAAATGTTCATTAGATCAACAATAGGACCAAGCACTGATATAAACAATACTTAATACAAATGCGAATTTCAAGAAATGATATACTTACAAACATGTTCTCCAGAGATCTCTTTGCCAGCCAGCAGTTTAAAAATACCGGTATGAAGAGATTTCTGAGCGGTGGAAACGGCAACTGAAATCAGATTAGTTTATTTTTAAGACGGGGTTAGACAACTGAAATAGTGAAAATTTCTGGGTAAAAAGTAATGTAAAAGATCGAGCGTCACAAGTCTAAAAGATTCGTGTAGTTGTCATTAACACTAACACATATATGTGGGTGCCTACATGAATGTGGCGTAATTAACGAAATACCTTTTACATGATAACCCAGCCCATGAAACAGAAAATTTCTTCAACGACCTTCAGAAATGAAACGTAGAATTGCCTGAACCCGAATACCCTTAACTGGATCGGCTAGTCATCTAGTCTAAAACTAATTTTTCTGGGAAATAGTTTTAGTCAGACAATAATTAAATCGTAGGTTTGTTTTTTATACATCGTATGTAATCAAGATTTTACGTTAACTTCACAGTTTAACGAATTTACGAAGATAAAGTTTCAAATATAGTCTCAAGTTTACTATTTTTGTGCAGGATTCGTGATACTTCGTAGGTAAATAAATAAAGCATTCCCTGTTCATCGCTGGTCTAACAGCATTATAAGGTATAACACAAACATGATTTCAAAGGTAAACTTCAAAATCAGTAGCACAAAATCATAACAGCAAATTGTTTGTAGATAGTGACAAATTGCGTTAAATCGATTTGAATTTAAAGTGCCCTACACCTAGTTACGTAACCTGTTAACAGCGTTAAGGATTACGTGACATAATTAGGTTTGTGTCACTGGTGCCAATAACTGAAGCGCGATGTGTCACTTAATTACAACCAGCTTCTCTTTGTACAAATTCGTTTTCATATCAATTTTTTTCGTGAATATAACGGAACCGGTTATATTGAAAATACATATTGTGATGGAAGTAACAACCAAAACACATCGACTTAAATGATTACCGTCTGTACAGTTATAATTACGGCAAAATATGAATATGATGTTGCAAACAGATAAAGCGGTAACATGCAACAGTTTTCAACTTAAGTTATTGTTTAGTATTTTACTACACCATAAAATGTGCGAGCAGTTTTAAAGGCGGTACATTCAATATGCAAATACTGAACAACCTTGGTAGGACAGTGAGTACTTCCCGAAGAAATATATTTACACAACTTTTTCATTAAGTTCGATTAATCCATTACCTTCCAATTTGATGACAAAAATTTATGACAACCTTATTTATATACATTTGAAAATAATAATATCATCATCATCGCGTTTGTGTTGTCCTGACCGAATGCTTTTTATTCTGTTAATTTTATATTGTGGTATGCTGGCAAAAGGCTCACCCCTTATTCCATGGGACTTATAATATAATTGGTGAAAAGTGGGTGTACATTGTATAGTGGCATTACATGTAGTAATGTACACCTCTGCCTACCCCTTCGGGGATAATGTAGGTAAGTAACTCAAAGAATCTTACCGTTAATGCAAATGGTATCGTATTCACCATTTCTAAGATGAAGTGAAACGATAAAACTTGTTGCCAGATATTACCCTGAAAACAGGAAAATGAAGAGGTTAAAAAATTGCCTGCAGTATAAAAGAAACAGATAAAATAAAAATGATATTCATTCATTCAGAATTATGAGTTTCTCGTATACAGAAGACGGAAGTACGACTCAACTTTTGTCTGTCTCCCTAAAGGTGTGACGTCATTGATAGATGGTCCCATAAGGTAATTTCAATTTAGTTGATGACACAATTAATTTACCTTGTAGCCTAAATAAGCGAGTAGTATGGCTTCGGTAAAAGATATCATAGCTAATATGACTTGCACAACCCACAAATACAGGGGCCTATTGACCCATATTATTCCGTCCCAATTAATAATCGGGTGCTCCTGAAATTCCTCTTCCGTCAAGTTAGCCGAATATTCGAATTCAGTCTTATTCCCAGGCCTGCAGCCGTAACTGTAAAGAAGATAATTATATTAAATGTTTACACAGTGCACGAACGTGAACACTTGCGGGTGGCATTTGTATCGGATTAGATTAGACATTACGTTATGTCTTATAATGCCATTTTACTTGGACTTCATTTTAAGCCTCATGATACTAATAACTTTATCAATAGTGCGGTTGTATTTGTTCATTGATCAAGTCATATTTATCAGGATTAAATGATGTAATGTTTTTTCTAAAACTGGAAAACTGCTCTCAGCGAGCACAGTGACTGAATAAATAATTGCCGTCCATTTTCAATGTACCTACACGAGGTTTACAAGTGTTAAATATGCACATGCAATCCGATTATGTTATTGGCTGTGGAAAAGTTAAAAATATTGTTGAGCATATGTAAATACTTTCTACACATGTGAATGTAATAGTACTGTAAAGCCGATTATCTCTGAAAACAGTCTATAAGTTTAGTTAGGCCGTCTTAACAGCACACTTAATTTGGTCAGAAGTGTTTATCTTTGGGAAATTTTCATACTCAACGACTTACTACAACTAATTCAAAAAACGTTATACACATCAGCGACAACTGAACTAATAAACAATTGTGCTGAAAAGTTATTAAAGAGCTCATCTCAGGTTGGACCCACTGATATCATGTAACCAAATGTTATTTTTATCCTATAAATGTCGGCTCTTTATTTTCAAAATAAATTCAATGTTACGCGGTAATGTTTCAGCTTAACTAATAAAATGTACTTACCAGGAAGCGGTAATGGGATCGCCATCAGCGCAAACTCGGCATATATACAACACGCAGGTCAAAAGTTTGAAAAATAAGTTAGCTATTCTAATGCGTAAACCTGAAACAAAGAAATGGAAAAGCGTAATGCCCATTGCTCTGACAGAGCAAACAATATGATGTACTTTATAGTTTATCATATTTTTCTATAAGTTGGCAAAGACTATGGAACGCCAATTACTACGATTCCTACATACCTCTTTCGCTTCATCAACAGTCATCAGTCTTTTCATGCAGGCTCGTCGGTTAATGGTTCTTTTAATTTGGCTCTTCTTTAATAAATCGCCAATCTGGTCAGTAAACTATAACTATTTTTATTTTTAATACGATACCTATCTTCATTTTTAAAATTATGCCAATACCTCCTTGTATGTAAAAAGACTATTATAATATTTAATGACTATATGCTGACTAAAGCGCGACTAACTTTAATATTTCTAAAGCGGGGAGTGATTTTTGAGATTTCAGTATTATACATTCATTCATTTGTTGGTTTTACTAGAACGAGTTTTTATCATACACCTTCAAAGGCTTGAAATCAAGAATAATGAAAAGTACTGAAATGATTTTAATTGCGTGTAAATTTTTAATCATCGAATTTGACCCAAAAAAGTGTATATAGTACCTATAATAAAAATTATGTTCATGTTAATTCCATATTAATAGATACTGATTTGCATATAGACTATGTCAATAATCAAAATGTGAGGTAATTCAATCATGTTAAAAGAAATTATCCTTTTACTTTTATAACATATTTTATTACTAGAATGAAGTCGATTATCTGTCAAATTGTCCGAAATAGAGGTTTTAAAATAACTTTTTATATTCAGCTTCCGGCGGTTGGCCACCATCTCGTCTGTATTACCTATTTGTTTTAAGATCCAGTTATTTCTGAACGAACACTTAAGGAACCAACTGGTTTACATAGTTCAGCCTAGAAAATTTCTAACCTTTTGAAAATTGAGCGAGATTACCTCAAGAGATGAAGCTCCAGATCCTACTGTCGGGCATTTTTATTTTATTAAAGCACATACACACACAAAATATGTAAATAAATAAATTATGTGACTGTACATAGGATGCATCACCCGGTCATCGGTAATGAGAATGTAAATTCTACATTAATATAGAGGGCGTGGATTTTTACTTGCCAAAAGCCTCTACAACAGTGAAGTGTACAGTCTCTGAAAATATTTTTTTAAATGGAGTGGGTGACCACATACTGGTTTATAGAGCCAACCGTCCTGTAAGCCGTTCACTCAAAAATCAAAGCTATATGTTGGCCTGGAAGAAACTTCGGCCGTACTGCGCCTAATGTAGCCCTAACAGCTCAGCTTTTCTTTTAGATCGAGACAGGAAACAGGCTCTTTCAGTTTCACGGGAACATCACTGAATTTAACAGTTAAAACATTCCCGCGTTCAAGGTGCTTTAACATCCCAAAACCTGGTGGACCTGGTGGACACAGTGGCCAGTTTTTTTGAGATTCCATCCTAGATTCGGCCTAGCATACTACTCCGATTATTAAGATTATAATATGGAAATTGTGGACACATTACTGTATGTGCACAAAACAGGGATAGTAGGAGCCATGCCTCCACGGATCAAATTAGTGTGGAATACTCATCCTTAAAGACTGTACAGTACACGGCTGCTTTCATAAAATCCCAGAGATCCCAGCAGTTCTTGATTAGCTTCTGCTGAGAAATGGGTGATTTGACGCATATACTAATGTCCAACAGTTAGTGTATAGTAAAAACCCCAACGATCATTAGGAACTGACCGAGTTTCACTATCCTGACCTTCTCCATGCGGCAGTAACACACGCCATAGCTAATAAAATGATTAGTGAGAATTTCCAGATGTCTTTGATAGATAAGTACATCCGAAGGATGGCTACTGTAGAGCTGGGGTAAAAGGGACCAAAACCAAGTTGGCTGCAATAGGATGCCTAGTGAGCATCTTAGAGCTTATGTAGAGCTGGAATGGAATGGAGCAAGGACGATGATGATGGACCCAAAGCTAGGAGGCCGAAGAGAAGTTGTTATGGGACGTCAATTTCAGCAGATTTGTTTAATTCATGATTGGTATAAAGCTTACAATGATAAGTTACATTCTTACAGTAATGGTCTACCAGAAAGACATCACCGATCAATGAATGACCGATCGTGAAGGTTATTAGAAATTATGTTTATTTATGCAATTGGCGTGCCATAGTCTCTGCCTAACTCCACGGATTCACTTTTACTCAATAGGGCATTGAGTAAAATCGATCAAGTACACAATAATGATGTCTAAAATTACCCTCGGGTGCCTTATGCTGGAGTAGGTCTAAAATAAAAGTCAAAGAGTCTAAAATACAACAGCACGATTTCTAGCCTGCTCTATCATTGTGACTAAATACGTATATGTTCAGGGTTCGCATAAATATTATAGTAGTGCTACTACGATTACTCAGGTATCCTTAATAGCTTCTGACAATTTCCGAGAACCTACTAATTTAAAAATGGTTTAACATTGTACTTAATAATAGTTCGCTTATGATTGCAAATATAAATCTGCTTCAGCCATATGTTTAGTTTCACAAGTTTTATTTTATTTATTGACTTCTGTAACAGTGTCTACATTAATTTATATTTTAGAATTAATCACTACTAAATTATTATTTGTTAACGTAGTCATTGTCGTTAGTATCGACATTAAAGCATATATATTCTTTGACCACCAAGAACGAGAACAGGTGTCTTTTGTAAGGGATTTCAGTTTATTCTCATTTCATTTTGTGAAAATATTTTCTGACAATACACATCTCACGATTGTGAAGAGTCTTACCATTTCAAAAGTGTCGCACGTTGGTGAGTCAGATTCAAGATATTTTTCAATAACCTACACAAAATTAGTAAATATCTCGTCTTCAGCTTAAAAAAATGATATCTCATCTTTAGAAAATTCCATCAAAAATAAATACCCAATTTGTGACGGTATGACATCTACTTGTTATGTCCATGAGTCGTTCGTAGTTTTTAATTTTAATGTGAGTATATTACAGCCAAGGAAATGATGCCTAGTAGTCTATTCGAAGAAACCTTACAGTAATGACAGCAATTTATTAACGCCTTGACATACTTACTCGATCGTTGATTTTTTATAAAATATAGTTGCAGTCTTTCTTTGAAAGTGTTCTCGTTTACGTAATACTCCACTCGGACTCTGAAACAAAATAAATGCAGTTTTTAGTAATTTTATGTCGTAATGTGCATGTGGTTCAATTTTTTTTACTTAATAAATAAGATTATTGGGATTTCATCAGTTTTAATATTCATATGCATATCATAAGTATTGTCATTACCATTTATGTTACACAAATCATTATTTCAATACATAATTATGTTAAAATAAAACCCCAACGCGATGGATCAGCTGCTTGAGGTGTTGAATGTAACTTTGAGCTACTGCTATGTTATATTGATAACGAGAAACTAGTCTATCTTCATCGACTTTTCTTAATTGAATTCCTAAACATACTTTTTGCTGCGAGTCGAGGGACTACTCCTCGCATCGCCTAGTGCTTGTGCTGCCGTGCCGCATCTACCCCGTAATCGTCTCCATAAATAAATTAAACACCTGATCAAACTATCCATTGTTGTACTTCCTTTGGGAAACCTACACTGGGATTTGTATTCCATTAGGAAAAGCCCCTTGCAGCCACATAGTTAATAACAAATAGTTAATAGTTAACTTAAAATTGTTGATAGGTTTGTGATGTAATATGTAAAATTAAGGATAAATTTTAGTATTAGGATCGGGCGAGGTTGTGCAAGTATACAGTGAAAAGACAAGGGTCTTTTCGCCTACACAATTTGCACGGTTTTTACCGTCAAGGGCTCCGTATAATTGATACGGCAGATACGGTGCTAGCTACGCCTCTGAGGGCTGCTTGTCCACGACGCGTCATTTGACGAATGCATGCAACCAACAAATGACGATAGACGGCTTTTGCATATTTGTCATGTCCACGCTGCTTCATGCAATAGTCAGTCACGTTACAAAAATAGTTTTATTTTGACTAACATCGGGAGAACACTTTTTTTAGTGAAAATGACAACTCTTGACGACGAATAAAAGTACTGAATTCATCCATATATCGAATGACTAAATTTTACACTGTTTGTTGCTGCCAGAGAGTTAAGATGACTATAATTCAATAATTTTACCGAATTACTAAACATACGTGTCGAAGTTTAGTCTCTGCTGTTAGACCCATGATACAAAGTCAAAATATTGCAATGCGAGCATGTAACAGTCCAGAAGAAAGGATACTTATAACTTTGGGGTAATCTATTTAAATATTGTGGCCAGGTCCCTATTCATCATATAAAGTACACTGTTTTTATATTATAACTTGTATGAGACATACTAAATTAATTATAATGTTTTTCAGCTTATGTAGGATGAGGAACTCGACTAGTTTCAAGCCATGCTAGAGGCTCAAGTTCATGAGCGCTATTCTGCGACCCGCGACGAGGCGACTGTCGCGCTTTTACTGTGGCCGTACTAGTCGAGTTGCTCGTGAAATAATTGCGTAAGTAAGCCGAAAAACATGATAAGTCTTTAGAAGCTTTAGTGGCAGAAAGTATTCAGGGATTTCAGACATAGTTGGTACTGAATTGGCAGTATTGGGTGTCGCGCATGCGTATTGACATATGACCTACAAGTCTGGTGTATTGTTGGAAAGCCTTTGCCCTCATGGTGGAGTGTATAGATGCATCCTTCCAAGGAGTCGGTCGAGTGACGTTCCCGCGCGCATCGTATGACAAACGCATGACACTGATTTTATTATTTCTACGTAAGGTGCATTCATTTTGATGAAAGCATGTGCATGACATGTGGTTACCTGGATAATGGGCCAACCAGAAGAGTTTTATACCACACATATATAGATAATAGAATATCGATATTCAATATTCATATAAAATCTTAAAAGTTGCGTAACTTTTAAAAACAAAATGAGTTTGGGATGCGGTGTCTCGTATAGTGAATCAGTCAAAATATATATATATATATTTTTTTTTGTAATGGGACAAGCCCGCCACAACCTCCCAAAACCGCTGCAACTCCTGTAAGCCAGGATCTACAGTAGATACAACCATGAAAACACCGGAACACTGAAGTCCGGCGCGTCCCAGGGACATGAGTAACTGTCTTGGTTCCCGCAACGAAATGAATCAGAAGATATTATAAGAGGAGAAGAAAAAAACTATAGTTTCCACTTCCCTCGGTGAATTTCTGCAGGACACAGAATGAATTAAGCCTAAAGGCACAAAGAAGAGACTGTACAACTGTCGCCAAGCACCACGGAAATTTGACTAAAAAACTAAGTGGGTCCTATGTGTGAGCTGTTATACTTGCTTCCAATAATAGGTATGGCAAAAACGCCTAAACGCACGGAAATTTGTTCTAGATTCCACAAGGTCCGTATAATAAGCTACACCTGACGAAACAATTAAATTATTCAACATAGTGTTACGTTCATATTGCCAGAGATCACACTCCCAGAGTATGTGATGGGCCGACTGCTCGTATTGCAAATCCACTGTCGAACATTGGCACCATGGTGAATCAATAAGTTTAAATGAGAAAAATTTGCTTTTAAAGTTGCCGTGGCCAGTAAGAAATTGGGCAACACAGTGATCCACCTCTAACCATGTCCTCTCCAGCCGCTCATGCACGGATGGGAAGAACTGATATAGGTGGCGGCCCTTAATAGAAGATGCCCATCTACCCTGCCATTCAGTTATAAGCTCATCCCAAACGTCCGTTATTGGCTTAAACAATCTAGCAATTTTATTTCTATCACGTTGTGCTAGAAAGCTTGCTGACAAATTAGGTCTCGCACTGTAGTACATAGCAGCACGTCGCTGCACCTCAAGGTGCAGCGACGTGCGACGTGCGTGGTCACCCCAGGTGGCTTTTGAAATTCGCGTCAGCGCATAGAAGTTATTTTTGGCTTTCTCACTAATAGCCTTAATGTGCTCAATGAAAGAAAAGTTCTTTTCCAAAACTAGACCGAGGTAGCAAACCGACTCCTTTCGTTTTACGGAAACGTTGTTAAATTTAATAGAAACACGTTGTTAAATTTCAAAAAATATATGTTTACTACAACCTCATTAATTAGGATACTTTATGAAGAAACTATATTCTTGAAATAGTAGATATGGTGGTCTTTTTGGTGACACCCAATGATTAGACGAAATGAAAAAATATTAACAATTTTCGTGTAATTTTATTTACTTGAATTGTAAAAAGCACCAAAACGGCGCGCTAAAGTAATATTGAGTTCTTAAATTGCAGGTCCAGGTTACACAGGTTGTGTGCGGCGAGTATTTAATAATTCGTTGGGATCGATGTGTACATACTTTTAGACCAAGTCTGACCTCATTTTGTGATTCAAAGGGGAATGACCACAAGTAAGCGATGCGCCGAAATAATTTATTTTCATTAAATACAGACTACTTCTATTTTAGATTTATCATTTATTCAATGCTGTGCAGATGTTTTGCCACATAACCTAGATAGGGTGTCCCTGAAATCGATTTGAACTGACCCGAAATTAAAGGATAGGAAAAGTTATATCAATTATCAAAATATATAAAAATTTCGAAGACATGTAGTTTACAAATTAAAGCGTGATATTGATAAATATGTGGCACCCTGTAACACAGTCGTTTAACTACTATTGCTGCAAATATTTACTTTTATCTTTTGTTGCGCTGTTCAGTATGACGTAATTATATTCTATTTAGTAATATGGAACTGTAAATACTAAGTCCAAAAAATTACTATGCTTGTATTGACAAGTTACACCAAAAGCTTACGTATTAATGAGGATTTTAAAATGGTATACCACTTACTACATTGTTTCTTAAATCCGGTTAAAAAATCCATGCAACATAAATAATTCACTGTTAGGTATTTGAAAACTACATTACCTACTTAGAATTTTTCACATATTTTTCTGGCAACTGTTGTAACTGAGCCGATCACCTCACCAGGTGTATAGCATACTGAAACTCACGCCCAAGTTGTATAATAACATTTTAAGCTAAAATTCGTTTCTGTGTTACCTTTAATTCTGTCGAAAACAGATTTTTTTATTAGAGTGATTCAATGATACGAAGTAAAAAGGCTGTTAATTGATTACGAACGCGTAAAAGACATAATGATTGTATTACTGTATATATATTGATGAAATGTTAAAAAAGCTCTCAGAATTCTCGAAAATAGCATTAAATATTATGCTGTTTGTTGATTCGTAATTACCAATTCCATTTGAGCATACAATTTTAAATTCAGTAAGGAAAATATCATAATATAAATATTATATTGGTTTAATATTACGCTTTCTGAAATTATAGGATCATTCGTCATTTTGACCTGCATAACTTTCTACATTGATCAACAGTGATGAATTATACAGGTTGTCTAGTAAGTTGTACGACATACTGCTAGCTACAATCAAAACCTACCTAAACAATCCTATAAAACAAAGTCTCAGGACCCCAAGACGTTTCTTATTTTCCGATCAACAAAACATTATTATGTAATAAGTTAAAATTTCTGTATACAACGAACATATACATACTATATCGTCTACAGGTACGTACCTAAGTCTGTACCTGGTATCTAGAGGTCTGATTTTTACGTATGTTGTGGATAATAAAAAAGCTCATTCATTACAGTGACATCTAAATGAACCGATAATTTTTTGAAGCGTACAGGTAAGAACATATTTTGTTTTTAAAATTACATTAATAAATATAAGTGTGGAGGAGCTTTAATGCAATTATATTGTCGTTATATATAATGACGCGTAACGAAAAGCAACAGTGTTCATAATACATATTTTCGGTTGACGGAAAAATGTGATATACATTACAATTCAAATAAAATACGGTTATCCAACGAAAGAGATTAACTGGTAATTGGAACAACATTTACATAAAAATGTAATTACTTTGACAGTTATACATACAAATAAATTGCATAATTTACACTTATTATTCTGCTACGTCAAGCGGGTATTTTATTTAAAACCATAATTTTCTTGTCGTTTTTTTACTTTCCATTGGGTATATACTACTTTCCTTCACGTTTACCTTTTCTAGGAGTAGTTTTACGACAAGTTGTGAAACAACAGACATTATGATTAA